ACCTCCCCCCCAGGGGGGAGGTGAAAAACCCTTGGGCCTCTTTTTTAAGAACACTAATCCCGCTTTTTTTTTTTTTTTTTTTTTTTGTCTTTTTAAAGTTTTCTTATAGGGCGTGTGTGCGTTGGCCAGAAAAAGATAGAAAGAGAGGAAAAGTGAGAACTCCTCCCTCAGGGGAGATGGCCACACCTCAGTCCCTTCTCCTCTGGGGATTTTGGGCTTGTACATAGGCCCTATGTGTATTTAAGCCACGGGGGTGGGGGGTGGGGGGATTTGAACTGTGCAGGTGGCTATGTGGGACTCAGCACCTTAACCACCACACCACCTGCTGTTCCCCTAATTCCATCCATTTTTTCTTTCAGAGGTTTTTGCTATAGGGCACATCCCAGACCTGGTGGAGTTTTATCATGTCCACCCAAAGCTCTCAGGGCGGGGACTGGGGCAGCACGTACACCAGGCTCTCAGCTGACTGCCACGTTGAGACAGCTGTGTCTGCAGAGATGCTGCTGGAGACAGCACGACTAACCCATTCTTTACCCGCAGGTCAGCTCTGCGGACCACGAAGCCATGGTTCCCAACCAGAGGACCACAGACATCTGGAGGGATAGGTGATATTACAGAGCATCTTTGGGGCTACGCGGTATTATCTCAGGTTAAATAAAGAAATAAACATGTAAATAACATGTGTATAAGGGTTATTTTTCCAGTGGATATAAACACTGATATTTTGAATAAAATACATAGTCATTTAAAATCTTTAATTTAACTAAATTACAATGACATAATCTTTAAAATATAAATGATAGCATTATAAAAGTAAAATTACAGACACATGAGAACTCAGAATGTATATACATACATGTACACGTATGTTTGTGTATGTATATATGCACATGTATATGTAGAGTTATGTTAAAAAGTTCTTTTTGGTCAGGTGATTTGGGAACTAATGCTCTAACCTTTGGAACCTGTGAAATTGAGATGCTCCTACAAATATCAAGTAAAATGCCTAAGAAGGTATATGCAAGGGGGTTTCAAAAATTGTGAAAAAATGGCATTTAAATAAGTTTATTTTGGTGCAAAGTTTGACATCCATCCCAAGTTTTCTCATAATCCATACATGTGGCGAGCACTGCATACGGAAGCCATCTCAAGCTATTCGCCATCTTGAAACCATTAGGCTTCACTTCCTCACTGAGCAAATCGTTTCTCAGAAATCATGTGACCAACCATTCTCCCTGGAAGTGATTGGGTTTCTAGGCAACGGGAGAGATCCACCCACATCAATGATTGGTTCATGCTGTTCTATCTCATTTGCATTTTGGGCAACCAATTGGTTCCCACCAGCTGTATATAACTCGCCATTTTTCCTGAATAAACGGAAATAGACGGAAGACGACGATTTGATCAGCACCTGGTAGTGTGTGTGCGTGTGTTTGTCCCATCTCTCACTCCCTCCCCCAAGGAACCTGTTCCACTGTCCCGCAGGACGGGACACATACACTTCTCTACAAGGTAGTAAATTCAATGAAAGGATGGAATGAAAGAATACACATAATGTGCTAAGCACACTGTCTGCCATATTGTAAGTGTTTGATGAACCTCAGTTTGCTACAATGATGAGAATTTGGGAAAAGCATGAACTTGCGTAGATGCACATCAACTGACTAATAACTAGAAGTAGTTCCAGCCGAAGACAAGCAGAGCTGTGATTCCCTTTTCTAACTCTCAGAACACGATATTCTACACTCAGTTGTACACACCACACTCTTGTCATCATCTATAATTTGAGCACATACCCAAAGCTCAGGACTGGAAGAAAGTTTAATGATTTACCGCTAGATAGTGCCGATACAATGATAAGAAATTAAATGCTAAACGTTTCATAAAAATTATCAACGTAATTGAACTTCTTATTTAACTAAAGGCAGGGACGTTAGTGAAACAATGTTGGAGTTCCAGTTTTCCTACCCCTCTTTAATTATGCTCCATCTTTTAACACAAGGATTTCCACAAACGTCTCCATTTCATGTACTCAGTAGATGGTATCTTTGCAGACCACTTAAGAGTTTTCTGACTGACAAAGTAGAGAAGGCTGGCAGCTTAAAAGAAAGTCACGGCTGGCTTCTGACAGGATGTCAGCTTTAGAAGTCTCTACAAGGTTTGTAGAAATGCCAGGCTTCAAAAAGTCATGTAGTTATTTTATTTTATTTTTTTCCCCCTGCCTATATCAAGACAAGTCAGGACTATAGAAATATGGCAGGGGGGAAGAAAAAGGTCAAATTTCACACAAAACCATTAAGGTTCACTTTTTACCCACATTAAAAAGTGCACTGACAAGAGAGCATAATCTAATAGAAATTAAGAGCAATGATTCAAGACACTGTGTTCACTATAGAATGAGGGTAGGCTGGGGGGTGGATATCATATGACAAATGTGGAAACATATGGCCAAATAAAAAACTTTTGGCTGGTGAATATATAAAGGAAACTTGAATAATTTAAACGTAATATGGAGAACTAATTAATCCCCAAATGGCCGCATTTTTAAACCATTTGTTTAAAAGATATATTCAGACTGTTAAATGACTTTAAAAAGTGATGACTTCATTAAAGAAAAAGGAGATGCATGATATTGGTTTTAAAGGACAGGATTATTATAACAGAACAGTTGTGTAACCCGATGTATAGTTGAATTTCTTAAAAAAATCTTCTTTTGATTACTTTTTGGTTTCCCTCTTCCCATGAACGCATCTGAAAACATTCAATCATGAATCTAGAAAATTCTCTCTATAGGGAGCCCAAACTTTCTATCAAATTTGAAACTTTCTCTCTAAAATGTTTTGTCTTAAAAGCCTAAATGCAACAGAAATCAGTTGGCTGTCGCTCTTACCGTCTCCTGGGTCAACAATCTCCACTGTGGTCACTGCGGGGAATTCTAGGGCAGCCAGCACAGGCTCTGAGAGAACCACTTGGAAGGTCTCAGACTGTTCATGCGTCCCATCGCTCACGATCCGCACCCTCCATGTGGCTCTGCTCTGGCCTGGGTTGAACTGCACTTGTTTCTGGGCCTTGCCCTTGAAGTCTTTGTCTTTTTCTGCCGTGCCATCTCTTGTAGCAATACCTTCACGAAAACATAACGCATTTTCTTAGTATCATTTTCAGTTGTATTATTCAGGTGTTCCTTGTTATTTTTCTGTGTGCCCCTTTATCATATAGAGCACAGTAGATCCTACTTGGATTCTATGAAGTGGATAACAGAATACCTGATGATGAAGGTAGTCTACTGTAGGTGTTGGGTAGTTCAAGATTCTGTTCTAGTCCCGCCCCAGCTATCGTTCTGCTATATAGTCTTTGAAACAAGTATGTGGAACGTTTCTTATAAAATGAAACCAAGTAAATTCATATTCACATTGTACCATATCCTCACTTCCGCGAGTTCATGCTATCTTAATGCTCTTTACATTAATGTTTGCATGCGTTGCTTATAAAAACATAAAGAAATTCTCTGACTAGCCAATAACAAATTCTGCAAGTTGATGAATCCTTTGATAATTTAAGTCATAAATGGTCAGTCAGGATAATAAAAAGTCATGATATTCCCTAAATATTTAATGGAGATAGAATACTTTAGAGAATACAACTCAGTGTTTGTCAAATATGGTCATTGTCAGATTTTTCTTTTTGAAACATCCCAAAATTCCATGAATCATGTGGACAGAATAAGAGCAAAATACATATAGTTATTAGGAGCAGAATACTTGGCTCAAGGCCAACTTCAGTTAGCTGGGAAAGTTGAAGGATTGCTGCAAGAGAATTTTCACCATTACTGTGCCAGTACTCTAACCTTAGCACATGTTAGCAAAAAAGATGTGAACTAATTCAGGGCCTTAGAAGATTATAAAAATTGCAATAGAACTCATATATTCTTTTTTTTTTTTTTTTGAGAGGTTTTTGCAATAGGGCATGTGCACTCACCAGAAAGACAGAGAAAGATACAGAAAGCAAGAAATCACACCCCCCCTCCCCTGGGGTGGGTAGCTATGCCTCAATTCCTTCTCCTCCATTCTCCTCTCGGGATCTTGGGCACACATGCACAGGTGCCTGGTGTGAGTTTAAGTCACCAGCTCCGGGTCTCGAATTGTGGTAGACTACATGGGAGTTCAGCGATAGCCATTAGGCCAACTGCTGGTCCCAGAACTCATATATTCTTAAGTCCTGAACCAGAACCTTTTAGCAAATCAAATTAACAAAATAATTTTCTAATATATTTCTCTAGACATTGATATTTTTAGAGAAGTTGGTAGGAAAGAGATTTAAAAGAGTGGTTATCCTGGCAATGGTGGTTAAAGTGCTAGACTCCCACATGGCTGACCATGGTCCGTTCAAGTCCCAGATCTGGCTGCTTGAAAATCACACTGGGTGCATATAAGTGTGTCCCCAAACTCCTTAGAGAAAAATGGAGAAGGGATGGTGGCATAGCCACTTTTCCCCAAGGGCTGATTTCTCACTTTCTTTTCTGTCTCTGCCTGTCTGGAGAGCACAAGTGCCCTATGGCAAAAGCCTTTTAAAAAATGTACTTTTTATTGAAGCAGTCCTCATGCATTTTACACTGTTTCACCAGACTTTTATCTTCTGGACAAATTATAGATTTACCTAAGCCTATTTTAAGATCTAGAGATATTCACTTTTATTTTTTAACGTATGAGTAATTACTGACAAGTTTTTAAGAATTATTTATGTATATAACTTTATTTGTTATTATTATTATTAATTTGACCAAAGAGAGATATAGAGAGAGAAAGGAAAAGGAAAAGTGAGAAAGCAAGCCACCAGGTCTGAGACTTGAGCCATGCTCAGCCATGTGGGAGTCCACACCTTAACCACCATGCCACCTGTTGGCCTCTACTGACAATTTTTTTAAGTTATTTTATATCAGCAAAAAAGTCTATTTAGGTAAAAATCCTTGACACAAATGTTATGTTTCTTTAGCAGTTAGAGTCTTTAAATGTCAACAGCTCCCTGAACTTTAAAACTCCACCAGTGAACTAAACTGATATTCTAGTCACTGTAGAAAAATGATAAACCTTTGCTAGAAAAATGGGTTTTGATACAGAGTAAAAATTCAACTTACTTATAAAAGAAGTTTCTCCCAAGTAACCCCTACGTTTAAGAACAATATCTACAAATTTGGAGTCCTCGTTGATAAGATAATATTCCTTTTCAAATGAGATCCACGCCCAATTTAGACGAAAATGTTGGTTGGTTAACTTGTTTCCACCTGAAAGACAAAAATAAATCTGTAAAGCCCAGGCTCAATGCTTTCTTGAATGAGAGACTTTAAAAGTTCCAGGGACTGCTTAAACAATGTGACATTAAGAATCAGTGCAACTCCTTGGTTTGGTACACAACTCTAGAATTTGCACATGGAGATACAGCTTATTTTCAGTGACTGTTACACAGAAAGAGAATAGCTGACACAATCCTTCACACATTCCTTCTCTTTCAGGAGAGGAAGCTGATAAAGGGAACGACATGCATGATTACCAGAAGCACTTAGTTTCATCCTAAACCTGAACAGCCACTTTGCAGGATGACTCTGTTTCCACAAGGTGCCGCTGGAGAGCAAATCGCGCTACAGAACAGCTACAAGGCTCCTTTGTGATGTTCTTAAAAACACACAAACTCACGAATACCTTTTTCTGGTTCACAGAGCAATTGGATGGAAAGCTTTAATTATAACCACTTAAGGAAAAACAAATACCCCTTCTTTGCCTCCCCTCTCCACTAGATCCCACTCCATTCCTTAAAGCAGAGGGACAGCTCCTTTCATTGATTTCCATTCTTCTCTCAAGATAAGGCTTTCTCCTCCCACCTTCCTACCAAAGTGGAGCTGGCTGTCTATCAGGAGAAAATAAACCTTGTGTGTGATCTCTCTAATGTGAAGGCTCCTGTGTTGGGTAAATGAAAGCAGAATTGGTTATCAGCTGATCACTCTGCACATAGCCCTCTGCCTCTTTTGATCTATAGCAGTTATTTCAGAGGAAGGTGAAGTGTATAAACAAAGACATCAGTAATTCCTTTTAAGTCTTTCTGGAATGGGGGGGGGAGCCCAAATAACAAACACAGCTAGAGGCACAATTTTAATTCTCTCTCCTTGTCTTTTGAGTTCCCACAGAGAGCTCCATTAGAAAAAAAGAAATGAGACAGAAAAAGATCAAGACTGTAATAGACTAAGAACGGGAAAGTTCACACAAGGGGAAACATAAGCAAGTGGACAAATACCATAGAACTATGTTCATTTTGTTGGAATTTTTTAAAAAGTAAATACTGCAGCAATGTGGTGTTATCAATTGACATGTTCTAAAGTTAAAGAGAATACCGGCATAGCTGAAATTATGTAGGGAATTGGTTTTCCTTTCTATTGTTTTTTGTCTAAATTAACATGAGTCTTTTACAGCAATATGTGCAAGAAGCGAAAAGATGTTTTTACCACCTGATCTTGTAAGTCCCTCTATGGGATTTTTGCTCTGAGGGAAGCAAACTATTGTTTGTAAAAAAAAACCCCTGCTTATTCCAGCACCTTCTTTTCCTTTTTAAAAAAGAATATTTCTTTCTTTCTTGTGAAAAAGAGGGTGGGAAAAGAGGGAGCGAGAGAAAGAAAAACAGAGAAAGACGGCATCCCCAATAGTTTTCTCATGCCATGATCCACCCAGCACCACTCAGCCAGGATCAGGAGCACGTATGGGCAGGGTGCCCTCAGGACATGAACCTGGGACCTCCCCACATGGTTTCATCATCACAGAGCATCATGCCACCCTGACGCCACCTGAGCTGGCTCCAAGCAACATTTTCTGTAATAGCCACAGAACTGAAAAACTTTGGGTTTACCATACAGCAGTACATCAAATTAATAAAATGCAATCCAATCACTACATAATATAATAAATATGCAATTTTTGTTGGAACCCTTAAAAATCACAGGAACAAATGGTACTGATGGTGTGAATATAATTGCAGACAATGAAGCCTTACAAGTGAGAAGCTGCTGGGTGTTTTTCATGGATGGGATTATGAACCTTACTATTTTGTTTTAGTTCCACTTTTAAATACAAATACATTGTAGCTATTTTGTGTCAGTGCAAGAAGGACCTTCATTCTGTGTCATCCTTATGAAATTATTATGCCCGACATCTCGGGGACCCTGGGGTTCTAGAGAGGAGAAGTTTGAGGTGCTGAGGCTCGTTTGGTCTGGAGTCCAGGCCCCACTTTTCCTATCTGCTGTCTGACTGAGCAAGTTAGTTCTCTAGACCTCTGTCTCATCGACTTCAGAGTCAGTGAGAGTGGTATCAATGACTGTGATTGCTTGGCGGCTCGAGTGAGGTAAGCCATAAACACACGACGGTGCGATCTCTAGAGAGCGTGATGCAGTGGGTGTTGGCTGGCTCTACCCTGTCTCGCCACGAACAAGCCCCCTGCACACTCGCTGCCAGAAGGCTCCTCCTCTGCCTTAACCTACTCTCACTCCTTGCTCCTCTGCCCCGATTCCTTACAGCTGCTGCACATGTCAAGTCAGCGCTGCTTTGTGGCTGGCCAGGTTCACCTCAGTCTCCCCGGTCATTCCCATCACCCTCTAATCTGCTCATTCAGAGGCCAAGCAAAACTCTTGCAGCTCCACTGATTTGTCCCCTTCGTCCTCCCGTCAGTCTTTGCCCTCTTGCCTAAGTCGATGACCCCCATCTCTCTGTGGCTCACACTTAGCACTACTCAGGCCTCCCTTAACCCACCATGTGTGTGAAGCCTCCTGCAGCTATCCCAGCATGCTCATCCTGTTAGGATTCTACAGCTGTTTGCTCATCAATATCCTCATATTGTAAAATCGTACTAATTCCGAGTGTCTCCTCTTTTACTATTGCCCACACTTGGTCTAGTGTCTTTAAAAATATTGTTTAAATTACTGTGATTATGTTCTATTACTTGGAACATCTTTTAGGCAGTAATAGAAAAGAAAGAATAGAATACCAATTAATCAGTTAAATGAGTACATGAAATAGCTCTAATTTTATAAATGAGTAATTGTAGAAGAACAACTTTCTGCCAAACCTGTGTCCCATTTAGACTGTGGTTCTAGCAAATGCAGGCTCTGTTATAAACTTCCTGCCATGCCAAGCCATTCCTAGTCGGCGCTGACTGCGGCTGCACAGACCATCACCTTCCCTGGAGGAGAAACACGCAGCCCCATCCATCAGCCAACATGGACGCTACTGCATGTGCTTTCTTCGGCTCAGAACCCCCTCAGCTCTCCTACTCTTCCTGGAAATCTCTATTTCTCTAAAGTTTGACAATTTTAGCTAATTGTAAGAGTTGATTCTAACCGTTTCCAGAAATATTCTAGAAAATATCATTTTGCAAAGTAGTACATATTTTAAGAATATTGAGTCACTGAGGCGTTCTCTTTCCACTCTTTTTAAAATAGCAAATCCCAGCTTGGCTACAGTGACACGTGCTGCTAAGATGCTGTGCTTTGCAGGCTGCAATTGTGTGGGAAGCCTGGGTTTGATTCCCAGCCCAAACTAAAGGCTGGGCATAGTGGTGTGTGCCTATATTCCCGGTAACATGGGAGGCTGAGGCAGGAGCATGGCAAGCTTGAAGCTGGCCTGGACAACATTGTAAGACTCTGCTTAAGAAAGAACTGGGATTGGTGACGAGAGGACAGTGACATGGTGAGATTCTGTCTTAAAACAAAAACAAAAACAGAACCCAATACCCTCTAAACCAGCAAGCCCTAGAGCAAACTCCAGCACTCTAGCAAATACCTATATTCTTATTCATTTTTCTTACAGTGCTTTCCACTATCTTTCTCTCTCTAAATATGTGTGTGTGTGCATGTGTATATATGATATATATATGTAATATATATATATATGTATGTATTTACTCTTTTATTTGCTTAATTTCTGTCTCTCTCTCTGTGTAATACACGATCCAAGAGGGAATTCATTTTGCTTATTGCTAAAAAGTCACCAGTTGAATGAGTTAGAAACTCTCATGTCTTGAAAGAAGTTTAATAGTGTTTTATCAGGCAATATAAATTTCCTATCTCTTTCAATACTAGAATTTTTCAATGTAATTGTTTTTAATGACACCCTTTGCAAAATGTACTACATACTTCTATTCTTCAAAACTATGTGAAGATTTTAAGTGATTATTTATGAATGTGAATGATTGGAGTTTGTGTTTATTCAAACAATACTTAGAAATTATTGATGACTAAAAGGCTATTTAACTCCTCCATTCCATTATAAAGTAACATAGATAATTCTAAGGATATCTAATTTTGTCTTTACCAACAGATTTGCAAAGCCTGCTTTCAGATGGATGCCTATATTCTGGAAGGATAGGGTGTCAGGAAGGAAGGTGACAGGTTACTGGTTAATCAGAGGTTTTGAATGACACATAGCTGAGCAAGTTTGCCAGCATTTTGAATGTTCACCGCTCACATTGAGATTTAACTTAAAATTCAGAAACAATGCCAAGAAACTTTGCTTTGTAGGAAAGTTTGATGGTCCGGGTAACCATTATAGAAACTTAAAATTTTCTCTGGAACTGGGATTGTTAAATAGATATTTACCTAAAGAATATGAAGTTACATCTATTGGGTAACCAGAAAAGTCATGACGCATTTTTTCTATGAAAAATGCATCATGGCTTTTCTAACGACCCAATATAAAGCTTAACTTGGTATAAAATTAAATACTACATAACACTTCTAAATTATACACATGTGAGTCATATTTAGCTTCGGAATTTGCAAGGTCTTATGTACTCACTTATTACACAGAGTGACACAGGGATTTGAGAAGCTAAGCTGTAGCTTATCATAATTCCCTTTATTAAAAGTGTGTCCGGGAAAATTGAACTCTGTATTTTATCTAAAGAATAGAAAGACACCTTATTTACTCATTTACTACATACCAAGTAAACTCCTCCAAACCACAATAAGTGTGAATATTAAAATTTAACAAAAGCCACAGCTTACCGAATGTGAAATTTTAAATGAAGCCGAACTTAAAAAATAGGACAAATTTTTACTTAACTGTAATTTGCTGCCTTTCTAAAATAGATTCTGTCATCCATGATGCATGAGGAGTTTGTCTCAATGTCTCATTGAAAACAAAGTCCATGACTTGTGTCATAAATCCACACAACAGGTGCCTGACAGCTGATAACTGCACTCCCAAATGCTTGGTCCCAAACCCTGACACTAAAACCATTAAAGTT